GAATACTATGCTGCATTGAAAAACAAGGAACTCATGCAATATTATTCAAAATGGGTGAGCCTGGAGGAAATGATGCTGAATGGGGTATCTCAGTCGCAAAAGGAAAAATATCGCATGGTGCCACTGCTGTAAAATGGGACTAAAAGTGGGGGTAAGACTGAGAAAAACTAGATAAATTGTGTATACTGCACTGAAACAGATGAGGGAGTGAATAATTTAAAAGTGATGTATGAGGTATTAAGGTTATCACAAGAGTCCACAATTAAGGTTGCATAGTGGAATGTACTTGGGGCAGTGGGAGGGGTACGGGGGGATTGTGTACCAGGGAGGGAGTCTTTCTTTTACTTTTGAAAGAGAGGAGCGAACTGAGGAGTGGGGAGAGAGGGCTGGGCGGGGAGAGAAGTGCAGCAATGAATGAATGGAAATCCAAATTCTCTGTAAATGTTCATTAAAATTATTTTAAAAATTTTAAAAAATCCAAAAAAACCCAAAACAAGCTTGGAAGGAGGAGTGGCATCTACTTCCGTAATAGCTGTCTCCAGAAACCCTATGAACCTGGAGAGAGGATGAAAGACACCCAAGTGTTGAGGACTCTCCTTCATAGGGTCGCTATGAGTCGCCTGCAAAACGACGGCACTTAACAACAACAAAAACCCACCAGAGAGTTAGCTATGGGTCAGTTCTGACTCAACAGTACAAAACATGCCCATAAGCTCCCTAACCTCTACCATTCTTCTGTGTCTGCTTCCTTCATCTTTTGTTTTCCTCTTCTAATGACCCTTTTTTTTTTATTCAGTGCCTACACTGAGAATGTCTATTTCTTAAATGGAATGAGAACACACAAGCATTTCTCGTATCTTGTGCATTTAATCAGTATTTCATAAAAATCTCAGCTTTCACCCAGTATTTATAAGCCCCATTATCAGGAGGAAGGGAAAGAGGTAGGAAGAGAGACAAAGAGAAAGGGGACAGAGAAGAAGGGAAGAAGAAATAAACACAAGACTCAGCTTAATATATACTTTTGCGTTAGAAGTGTTGGATTAAGGTTAGGATGCGGAAAGGGTTGGATTAAGGTTAGAAGGAATATCTCCTTCATTTTTCATATACATGTGGCAGACTCGACCCTAGTTAACACGTTGCCGCACACTTTTAAATTGACAACTGTGCTTAGACCATGCTTAGAGGAAAGTGTTCTCCTAAGGAGTGTAGGGGGAAGCTTGTCCTGAAACAGGCATGGGTAGCAAGCAGTTCAGCTTGCCCTTCTTTGTGAAGATGTGAGGGTGGAGACTGTAGCAATCACTGGATGGCTATAAAATGACCAGCAAGATGACAAAAATACTATAAATTGGGGTAAAAGCAAGATGAACATATATCCTTGATGACATCACTGAACAGCCAGACCAAACAATCCACCCACCTTTCAGTGTGTCTCTTTAAGAGCACAGTAAATAGTGTACGGTTTCATTCTCTCATTTGGTTTTTCCCCTGACTTGTAGCCAAGAGCATTCCTGGTAATATCCAGCTAAACTTGGTCCCTCCCTAGTTTTCCTTGACCATTATATATTTAAAACAGTTAAAGAAATGCTTCCCCTTTTTATGCTGTGACTACATCTCAGATGGGAGTGGGAGATTGGAGGTGTGCATGTCAGATTTACATGGCATCAGGCATTACATGAAATATCGCCATCAAGTCAGTTCTTTCTCATAGGGATCCTCTGTGCCAGAATGGAACAGCGCTCCATGGAATTTTCAGTGGCAGATTTTTCAAAAGTAGATTAGCAGCAAGCCTTTTTTTAAGGAAATCTGTCTTTACTGAGGAATTTTGGGGGGGTTGCTTTTGTGTGGGTGTTTTTCTTTTCTTCTTTTTGTTGTGTACCATCGAATCAGATCCAACTGGCACAGGAGGAGATTGCCCTTCCTTCTCTAGCAGACCATCGGGTGGATTTGAACTGCCCACCTTCAGTATTGCATGCAGCTCAGCTTCTTGCCACTAAGTCACCAGGGATCCCCAAGCCTTTCTTCTAAGGTGCTTCTGGGAGAACTTAAATTTTTTTCAATCCCTTGATTATCACTTGGGCATGTTAAATATCTGCACCATGTAGAGATTCCTCTCTCTTTTAGAGACTAAGGTGCGCCTGATCCAAGCCAAGGCCTTCACAATTGCTTGCCATGCATCAGAGAGCTGGACAGAAGAATGATGACAGAAGAAGAATCGATGCCTTTGAGTTGTGGTCTGAAGAAAAGTATTGAACAAGTATTGAGCAAGTCTGTCCTAGAAAGGGTGAAATCAAGTCTCTCCTTAAAGGCCGTCTCATATACTTTAGGCACGTGGCCATAAGAGACAAGTCCTTGGAAAAGGACATCCTACTTGGAAGGATGAAGGGACAGATCAGGATAGGAAGACTCTGGATGAGATGTATTGACTCTGTAACTGGGGTAATAGGGGTAAGTGTGTCAGATGAGATTGGCTCAAGATAGGACAGGGTTCAGAGCTATTGTGCATAGGGTTGCTATGAGTCGCAAACAACTTATAACAACCTAAAAACAACAACAGAGGTTCCCTCAAGGCACTAGTGGAAAAGGCTTTGTGTCCTGACTCACTATGTGCACACTGGTATCTGCCACCCCTTCAACTCTATTCATCTATAAGAATCCTCACACATGTAAGAGTCATGTGTCATCTAGTCTGTTGGTTTTGGGCGCCATCAAATTGGAACCAACACATAGCTGAGCCTTCAGCACATTTTCAGAGGCTTTAATTCACACAAGAGGAGATTGTTCGTCCTTCTTCCACAGAGCAGCTGGTAGAGTCAAATCACTTGCCTTTGGGATTGCAATATAGCTTCTTACCACTAGGCCACCAGCACTCCCTGATCCTCAGAAAATCATCCCTTCCATGATGCATCAAGTTATATACATAAATGTATCCTCATTTCTGGCTTGATGGTCCACTGTGTGTCATACTGTGGCCTCCCCTGAGTCCAGCTGTAAGACTTAGGCAGCCCTCACACCTTACTCTTTTTCCCTTATCCTGGCTTACACAGCCTCCTCAGAGCATAGAATGTAGTTGTTCTTCATTCCCCAGACTGAGTGAGACCCAGAGGCATCGTTCTTTTCAACATTTGCCATAACTACCATTACTCCTACATACTTGGGAGTCATGCTAGATGCCTTTTCTACCTGAGCCTTGAGGTCTTCCCCTAGGCACAATATGAGGCAGAAGGGCCAGGCACACATACATTCCCACTGGAGGTTATCTCAAGAGCTGGGCAGAGTGCTGGACTCCCCAAAGACCCCACTATCCACAACTTCTCTGAGAGCTCACCATGAGTAGCTTTTTATGTATTCTCAGGAGTGGCAACCACTTCCAAAATGGTTTGCCTCCGGAAACTCTATGAACAGTGCTCAGGCCTTTCATTCATAGGGTCACTATGAGTCATCTACAACTCGACGGCACCTAACAACAACACCACCACCACCACTATCTAAACAAAAGCCTTTTTTTCCCAAACTACCTGCTTGGAGTTTAAAAGTCTGTTTTTAAAACTCCAAATATGAGAAGTTCTAGTTCTTTTTCTTTGCCATCCTGGTACAGCAATCCCATTGTTTGAGGAAGCAATAGTTCCCTCTTATGCAAGTATTTTTGCAGGAAAGGGTGCCACATGAGGTCTGTTGGTACTCATCAACTCGTTAGGGTCTTCCAACAAATCTAATACAGGTTAGGTGAAGTCAAGAATTCACCAAGTTATACCAAGAGATTATGTGTGTATTCTCACCCACTGTCTTACCACATTCTGAAAGCATAATCTGTAAGAGTTGTGCCAATTCAAAGGTGTCCCTTCTTTTGTGATTCTAACCCACTGGTAACCCGATGGGAGAAAAGGACAGTCTCTTCTCCTGAGATGTACAGATTTGGAAAACCCTCTAGAGGGACAGCTATGACTCAGTTCATGAGCCAGCTATGAGTTCATTACAAATTCTAAATGAGTGTATGTATAAATTTGGTGTTGTTGCTTATTGCCCTCAAGTTAAGCACGACTCATAGCAACCCTATAAACAAAAGGTCTGAAGCCCCTCTACAACTATCAACATTTATCAAAGTTCATAGAGTTTCCAGAGGCATGTTGCTTAGGAAGTGAATGCCACACATACACATCTCTCTCTTAAGAAAAACTGATTGTCAAAACCAACTCATAGCTGACCCTCTAGTGAGTTTTCAGGAGCTGTAAATTGCACAGGAAATTAATATTTCTCCCACCCAGCCTCTGGTGGATTCAAACCATCTACCTTTGGATTGGTAGCTCAACTCTCTATCCACTAAGCCACCAGAGCATATATTTTAAATATGTGATCTTTGCATGTTGTTGTTGTTGTTTAATGCTGTCAAGTCATAGACGACTCATAGCGACCCTGTGAACGAACAGCCTGAGCACTGTTCATACATAGAGTTTCCAGAGGCAAGCCATTTTGGAAGTGGATGCCACTTCTGCTTCCAGGCTTGATTTAGTCGGGAAGCTCCAGCCAACACTGTCCACCATGGGTACCCGTTACCACGATTGGCACATCACTGTCACAGTCTTCAGCATCACAGCAACCACGAGTTACCTCTGCACAGCAACACACAGACCAGTGCTATACCACCTAGAAGAATGTTTGACAGGAAGACAATTTGAACCTTTGGGCTTAAGGCCGCCTCCTGGTTCAAACCCTAGGCCCAGGCTGGCTAGCCTCACTCCAGGGACAGAGCAAACCTGCACGTCAAACACATTCCCGTAAAAGCAGTCCACTCCAAAGCTTGCTACGATTCCTGCGCTCCCCACCACCACGCTTCTGCCTTCTGGCAAGGAGAGCTTCCCACAAGCCTGTGAAGGTGCCAGCCAAACCAGGAACAACATGGCCGCTTCCTTCCCAGCTTCCTTCGGCTTAAAGCCGCCTCCTGGTTCAAACCCTAGGCCCAGGCTGGCTAGCCTTACTCCAGGGACACAGCAAACCTGCACGTGAAACACATTCCCGGAAAAGCAGTCCACTCCAAAGCTTGCCACAGATATTTGCATAAGCTATGAAATTTAAAAACACATTACTTCAGGCTAAGGTTTATAGATTTTGTTTTCCTTGTGTAGAATATTAAGTGCACAAGACAGGCAGCAATTAATGGAAACACAAATTATTTTCTTCGGACATCAGTGAAGGTTTCTATTAATAAGAATCTGGGAACTTATCTGATGACTTAAATGTCACATTTGCATTTTATGAAATGGAAAAAAAAAAACCAAAAATGTGGATCAGCATATGTTATGAGTTCTTTGCCAAAAAGTGAAGCCTACCAACTGTTCCTTCATTTTACTCTCTGCCAGGGTACACGGGAGAGACAGGGTGACCCCACAAGGGTGCCCTCGGCCTGATTCCACAGAAAATTGGCCCCACAAACTCCTGGCTGAAGAGGATTTGAGAGTGTCCACGAGATAACATTACCATATTTCTTCCTCCCGAGGCACTTGTCCACTGTCTTCTCTAACACTGACCGTCTGTTGCCATAGAAGACGCCATTGAAGAAACACTGCTTTCCAACATGGTAGGTGTGGATATTACTGCTAAACCTCGGGTAAAATGTCCACTCGGGACGCTGTCCATCTTCTGCAAGACATCAGAAATCTTTCCATTAGCACCACTCTAGCCTCGCAATGAAATGGATGAAAAGCAATTGTGAAAATTCCCCAGGTTCTCTCTGGCTTGTACAACTTTTGTCAACATGTCTAAATTCCTTGGTTCTCCACCAAGACCAGCGGGAACTTCTATGGGTTGAGGCACAAAAGGTTGTGATCAGAGAAGTGGGTGGGTGGAGAGCTACCTGGGAAGCCCTGTGCACTCCTTTTAAACTACTACTAAAAATAAAGCCGATTTTATCATTTGAAGTCTAGTATAGGCAGGGAAGCTCAGAGACCATTTCATCAGCACATATGCTCCAACCTTTGCTCTGCTAACTTTATAGAAAGAATAAAGATACCCATTGAGCAAGGGATAGCCAGGTCAACCAGGGCACTTAACTGAGAACACAGGGCTAGGAGCAGCAGTAGCACATACCTGCCCTACAGTGACACAGGGAAACAGATACACACAGTAATATCAAGTGAGAAAAGCAGCAGTGAGATTCAGCCAAGTTCTCAGACCTCGCAGGATCTCTGTTTCTTCATTAGGTGGTTTTAGTATAAAATTGCTAATGTTCATGATAAATGAGAAGTGATCCTCCCAGTAACCCTAAAGCTGCTTGAGAAATACTTGGACTCTGGTTTGGCTTTGAATCCTGTCCCTCTACTTTCTAGCTGTGTGTGGTTATATGTATGACTTTGAAGTCATAGATTCTTTCTCTGTCAATCCATATTTGTTCCCATTCCCAAGAAAGGGGATCCAACAAAATGTGGACATTCTTAAACAATATCATTAATATCGCCTGCAAGCAAAATATTGCTGAAGGTCCTCCAAAAATGGCTAGAACAGTATATTACCAGACGTTCAAAGTTGGGTTTAGAGATGTCGTGGCACCAGGGATATCATTGTTGATGCCAGATGGATCCTGGTTGAAAGCAAAGAATACTGGAAGAATGTCTATTTGTGCTTTATTGACTATGCAAAGGCATTTGACTATGTGGATCATAACAAGTTTTGGCTAACACTGAAAAGAATGGGAATTCCAGAACACTTAATTGTGCTCATGCACAATCTATACCTAGATCAAGGAGCTGTTGTCTGAACAGAGCAAAGGAACACACATGGTTTAAAATAGGGGAAAGTGTGTGTCAGGGTTGTATCTTTTCTTTGTACCTATTCAATCTGATTTGATGAGCAAATCATTTGAGAAACTGGACTCTGTGAAGAAAAATAGAGGATCAGAATCAGAGGAAAACTCATCAACAACCTGCATTATTCAGATGATACAACCTTACTTGATGAAAGTGGGGAAGACTTGATGCACTTGCTGCAGAAAGACTAAAGACTACAGCCTTCAGTATGGGTTACATCTCAATATTAAGAAAACAAACTTTTTACCACTGGACCAACAGGCAACATCATGATAAATGAAGAAAAGATTGAAATTGTTAACGGTTTCATCTGACTTGATCCACAATCAACATCCTTGATACTAGCAGTCAGAAGATTAGGAGATGTACTACCCTGGACAAGTCTGCCGTCAGGGACCTCTTTAAATTACTGAGGAGCAATGGTGACAGTTTGAAGACTAAGGGGCACCTTATTCAGGCCATCGTCTTTTCAATCACTTGCTATGTATCTGAGAACTGGAAAATGAATAAGGATGACAGAAGAAGAATCGATGCCTTTGAACTGTGGTGTTGGAGTAGAGCCGAATATCTTAGGGACTGCCAAAAGAACAAACCCGTATATCTTGAAGAAAGTGCAGGCAGAGTGCTCCTTGGTGGCAAAGATGACTAAGTTTCATTTCAATACTTTGGACACATTGCTAGAAGAGGCTATTCCTTGGAGAAGGACACATCATGCTTGGAAGGGGGGGTAGCAAAAGAAAGGAAGACCCTTAACAAGATGGATTGACACAGTGACTGCAGCAATAAATGGACTCAACTGTGGCAGATGATGAAGATGGCACAGCATGCATGGTTCGTGGGGTTTCCATGAGGAATGTTTGACTCAATGTCATCTAACTAACATTAGCCACACGAAAAGACCAGACTTACTGGACTGACTGCAACCTAGATTTGCAGTCACCTTTCAGCTTCAATCTATAAAATAAAATATAAAACAATGACATCTGTGAAGAACACGCCCTGTAGAACAATCAACTGTGCAAGACCAACATTTCCCCGAAAGCAAGATGAGAAGGCAAAGAAGATACAGAGAAACTGGAAGGACAGAGTAATGGGGGAGGCTGGGTGGACGTGAGTAAAGTGCTGAGACATCATGGGGCTAGTAAACAATGTCAGGGAAACAAACAATGTATATAACTTGTTGGATGGAAAACTAATTTACTCACTTAAATTTTCCTTTAGGCCATGAAATGTTTATATTCATAAAATGGCAGCTCCCAGCAAAGTTGTCATGAGAACTGAGATGAAGCTTGCCAGATCGCAGGCACTGAGTAGGTCTTCAGTAAACGGCACCCAGCAGTGCGGCAGGCTTCTGACAAGACCTCAGCACTGAGCCTGGGCAGGGGGAGTCCCTGATTTACTCACTTGTCTGCAACTTAAGTAGGCTGAAGTCCTCGGGATATTTATTCATTTGGATTTCAGGCAATGAGGTTTCCAAGGAGAGCTCCAAACGTGAGGAGGAAGAGGAGGAAGAATTCCGCTCCAACTCTGCAGCTGTGCTGGGAAGAAAGCAGGAGGATTCTATTTTTCTTGGTGCTTAAATTGGGAGCTAGAACCTGAGCTTAGTGTCTGAACACTAGAAGTGTCCCCAGTTAGGAGATCTGGACCCTATCAAATTTCAAACTAAAAAAACCTCAAACTGCAGTTGAGTCAGAACCAACTCAGAGCCGTCCCTCCTTTGGGTTTCTGAGGCTGTAAATCGCTCAGGAGGAGATTGTCCCTCTTTGTCTGAGGGGCTGCTGGTGGATTTGAACTTCCAGAGAGGCGTGGCCTTTGAATTAGCAACACCACTCCCTGTACACTATGCCACAAGTTGTTATTAGGTGCAACTGAGTCAAGTAAGACCCACAGGGACTCTATGAACACAGATCTGAGCCCTGTCCCATCTTGTGCCATCCTCCCACTTCCTGGCATATTTGGGCCAATTGCAGCAGTCACCGTGTCAATCCACCTGGTTGAGGGTCTTCCTCTCCTTCACTGGCCCTCTCTCTGTCTTTCTGAGTATCATATCCCTCTCCAAAAAATAGCCCCTCCTAGCAACATGGCCCTAAGAGAATGACATCATGTTAGGAAGGGTAGAGAGAAAGTGCAGGAGAGGAAGACCCTGGATGAGATGGATTAACACAGTAACTGGGGCAATGGGAGTTGGTGTGTCAGAATCCGTGAGAATGGCTCAGGATAGGGCAGACTTCAGAGCTGCTGTGCATATGGTCATTATGAGTCACAGGTGACTCGACGGCGCATAACAATAACAACAATTTGTTGTGTAACCTTTCACTGAAAACTCTATAATAAAGTATTCCCCCCCAACAAAAAACGTTCATCAATAATGCTTGTTAAGTAGAAAGAAAAGTCAAATAATAAAAATAATAAAAAAAACCCTAAAATCTAGACTTGAAATAGTAATGGTAACTGAGCATTATGCTTAGTGTTGAGATGTTGTAGATATTAGCGGCAAAAGCAATCACTTCTGGGTGGAGAGGCTTTGTGCTTGAAAAATGGTCTTGGATAATGCTTTCAGGCCTACTCATAATCAAGGCGTGGAATCCTTGTTATATTTTCTGATATTGCATCACTCTTACATTTTCATGGTTTCAAAACAACTTCATATTTCTTATCTTGTTTGCTCACCACAAATATTCCTGCAATGTAAGTAGAACTGATCGAATCATGTCTACCTGAAAAAGAAGTGAGCCCTCAACAGAGCTGACTTTCTCTGATAAAATACACAACACCAAGCAGGGTCAGAGGCGGATCTCCAATTTCACCACCCTTGCCTCCAAGAACTCTGGTTGTATCTCCTCCAAAGTAGATTTTGTTTGTTCTTTTGGCAGTCCAGTGTGTATTCAAGACTCTTCTCTAACACCACAATTCTTTTGTTTTCCTTATTCTTTGTCCACCTTTGTTGTTGTTAGGTACCATCAAGTCAAGTACAACTCATGTCCACCTTTACTTTTTCTTATTTTAACAAAAGTTTACAGAAAAGTTGGATTTTTTTTCCATTCATTCATTGTTTCACATTTTCCTCCCTACCCCACCTTCACTTTTTATTTTTTAATTCATTTATTGCATCATTTCCTGTCTCCCCACCCCAGTCCACTTTGCTATGCATCTCTTATTCTGGATTATTTCTATATAAATAATACCTAATCATATATTCCTTTTAAACAGTTCTTTCCTTCATTTGTCCCATGCAGCATTCATTATCTGTCCCTTCTTTTCTTAGTTTCCCCCAACCCTCACGTCCACCTTTAGTAAATTGTAAATAAAGCAAAAATTCATTAACTCAGAGAACTCCTCAGCCTTCATTATCTAGTACGAGGGAGCTCTGGTGGCCTACTGGTTAAGAAGCGCTACTGCAATCCTGAAGGCACAGAGTTCTAATCCATCAGCCACTCCGCGGGAGACAACTGGACAACCTCCTCCTGTGTAATTAACGGCACAGGGTCAGCCACGGGTTGATTCCGACTCCATACACAACAACAACTATAATAGAAATACCACAAAATGCTATGACTTCAGCTAACAAATATTTATTCTTTCACCGTTTAAGAGGCTCAACAACTCAATACTGTTGAGCTGGAACCAACATAGCTGATCCTCCAGCAGATTTTCCGAGTTTGTAAATCACGATCAGAGGAGAGCGCTCATCTTTCTCTTGTGGAGTTGCTAACAGATGCCAGCCTCCAGAGAAGCACCGGGGCTGGCAGCTCGATTCCCTGCAGACGAAGCCACAAGAGCCCCTGTTTAAGAGGGTGGGAGTCTGGATTCAGGTCACCAGCTCTAGGGGAAGACTCTGGGTCAGCTCCGAGGGAAGGCCAGCTCCATCTTTGGGTCAGCTCCCAGTGAAGGCCCTTTCTCTTTTCAGCGTCTGTAGACCTAACATTCCTTGGTGATCTCTATAGGTCCATCTAGCTTGACACTGGTCTTTTCCTGGGTTTAGGAGATTCTCGGCACAGACAATGTCAGCCCAACTTATGTGCTTCGCTTGAACTAACTGCTATGGTTCAAGCCCATTGTTTCAGCCCCAGCACCAACCCACCTCCCTGAGGCGCTTATTTCCCCCTGACCCTCTGCTTTACCAAGCATGATGTCCTTCCTTCTCTAGGAACTGGTTCCTCCTGAGAACATGTCCAAAGTGTGTGAGACAAGACTCGCTATCCTTGTATCCTGGCAGAACTCCATCCAAGAAGGATTTGTTCATTCTATTGGCAGTTCGTGGTGTGACTATTTGATGTTCTTTATCCACACCATCATCAACTCTTCAGTTTTCCTTATTTATTGTCCAATATCCACACACATGCATACAATATGATCAAAGCATCATGGCTTGGGTCAGATGCATTTTAATTTTCCAAGTGACTTTACGTGTAATGGGCACTATATATATATATATATATATATATATATATATATATATAAAATTAATATAATGTTTTTATTTTTATTTTAAAGAAAGTTTATAGAAAGGTTGGGTTTTCACCTTCATTCATTTTTGCACGTTCTCCTCCCTCCTCTTCCCTTCCCCACTCCAGTCCACTTTGCAATGCACCTCTTGTTCCAGATTGTTGTCATAAATTGCCTAATCATATAATCCTTTCAGATATTCCTTTGCTCCCCTCATCCGTTCCAATGCACTGTTCATTATCCACTCTTCCTATTCTCCCCTCAACCTCTTTTGTCAGTCTTCTAACAGTGGTGTTAGGTAGCATTTATCCTTTTGTGACTGAGATGTTTCACTCAGCACAATGTCTTCCAGGCTCACCCATTGTTGTGTAATGTTTTACAAGTTCATTGTTTTCCAGTGCTGCCTAACATTCCTTTGTTCATATGTACCATGCTTTTCTATTCATTTGTTCATGGGCACTTAGGTTGCTTCCATCTCTTTGCTATTGTGAATTACACAGCAATAAATCTGTTTGAGTTGCTGCTTGGATTCCTGTAGGGTATATCCCAATAGTGGACTTGCTAGGTCAAATGGTATTTCTATTTCTAACTTTTTGATAAAGCACCAGACAAACTTCTATAGTGGTTGTACCATTTTATATTCCCACCAACAGTAAATAAGATTTCCAATTGCTTCACCACCCTGCAAGCATTTGTTGTTTGCTGCCCTGTTGAACTTTGCTATTATTGTGAAGTGTAATAGACAATTTCCTATCCCCATTCTATAGATCAGAAAGGTAAAGTAATTTTCCCTAGAACCCACACGTAGTTAAGTGACAGAGCTGGGACTTGAACCCAGGCATTCTTGCACCACAATGAATGTTCTTGTCAAAGATGTCACATTAGCTCTCCTATTATTAGCTTCTTAGTCAAAACTTTCTACAACAGTTATTTTCACCGGAGCTTTACTTACTCTAGGTGGGCAGACACTCTGTGTAGGGCTGGGAACTCACTGGTTCTCAGAGCTTTTGTATCACCAAACGTTGAAGGGGTGTCCCTCTTGCCAAGGGATGTGGTGCTGGCAAAGTGTCCATTAAATCCCAGAAAATCATTGTGTTTAGTACCTGCAATACATAGGTATTGTTGCTTAAATTTATTGTTGAAAATGCCTTCCACTGTGTCTTGTTCAGTGAAGCGCAGACACTTTTTACAAAAAGCAGCTAATATTTGTGGACGATTTCTTGCTCCTTGCTAATACCTCGTACACATTGAGGGAAGTCTGGTGGCCTGGTGGTAAGGAGTTGCACTGCCACTTAAAAGCAAGCAGTTCGAATCCGTCAGCTGCTCTGCAGGAGATGGATGGGCAGTCTCCTCGTTAGCAATTTACAGCCTCTGACAACTCTCTGCAGGATCAGCTATGAGTCGATTCCAACTCAGTGACACTTAACAATAACAATATACACAGTCTCTCATTTATTTTCCACAACAACAGACACAGGTTTTATTTAGTCTCAATTTGAAGGATCCGTGGTGGCACAGACTGAAACCCCTAAGCAACTTGCATGAGATCACACAGCAAATAAACACCGAAGCCAGGATTTGATTGCGTGTTTAATCCTAACCATTCTCTGCTCGGCTGCTAGCCCTGTCCACAGGTCATCTTCTCTGAAGTTATAGAGGTGAGAATTAAATTTCTTTTTTTCAATATATATTTTATTATTTTGTGTGTGTGTGTGTGTGTGCCGTCAAATTTAATTTGACAGATACAGGAGGAGATTGTCCCCTCCTTCTCCAGCAGAGTGGGCTGGTGGACTCGAACCATATATCTCTGAGTTTGCAGTGCAGCTTCTTGCCACTAGGCCACCAGAGCTCCCTGAGAATTAAATTTTTTAAGGCCTAAATCATTGTCTATTATATTGAGCATCTCGATTCTAAACAAAGGCCCACTTTCCAAAGGATTTGTTAGCTGGTTGCTCAAGACTCCAAAGAACTCGCTTTAGGGCACATCCACGGGTTCTTTCTCATTGCAGTGTGGCCATTCACTTAAATATATATCTTCCTCACCAGAAGTCTTATTATCTTACATAGTACCTAGAACAGTGTCTGGCACAAAGCATATGCTCACTAAATGCATGGATAAATGAAAAAGAACTCTAACGCCTCAGTCACTTTACAAATAAAGGAGTTCTGAAACTCATTGCCTCCATCATCTTCTGTCTCTCCTCATTTCATGTAGACCGCCTTGAAAAAACAAAACAAAGAAACAACCCGACAGATGAATGGATATCACACTTCCTTGTGCCTAACAATCATAGAGCACAGAAATGCAATAAGCACTTGCTGATGGAGCCATTGATCTGAATACAAGAAAGTTATAAGAAATAAGAAACAACTAGCCAATAAACTATCAAGCTTCATGTGTATATGGTACACATCATATGCCTACTGTAAACTCACACTATTTATCAGTGGGATGGTTACACAAAATACCTCCTTATTCATTTCCCCTTGCCTGTCCCTCAAATTCATAAAGGAAATAGATCATGTATTTTAAGTCCTAGTCCTACCACCAGGCCCCTCACTCAGTCTTTTTTTTTTTTAATTTTTATTGATTTATTTATTCTTTTTACGTGTGTACCGTCAAATTGGATCTGACTTTACAGGAGGCGATTGTTCCTCTTTCTTCAGCAGAGCATCTGGTGGATTTGAACCGTGCACCTCTGGGATTGCAGTGCAGTTTCCTGCCACTAGGCCACCAGAGCTCGCCCCCTCACTCAGTCTTCAGAAGCCTTTGCCTCCAACACTACACAGTTTAAAAGCTAACTAAGCTATTTACAGGTCCCATCATTATAGAATTTCCTGGGTCGTAGAGCAAATAAAGATTGCCTGCATCAGCATCATTCAAATGACTTGTTAAAAATGCAGATTCCTAAATCCTATTACAAACTCATGGGATTAAAATCTATGTATATGAAGCCCAGAAACCTACCTTTGGAATAAATCCCCTTCCACACTCATTGGCAAAGGTCTTATCAAAAAATCACAGTAGGTACCAAGACATGCACGGGAAGATATAGATGCCAAGAAATGCCAAGGAGCATCTATGCCTATTGACAGGAAAGGACTTTCTCTAGCACTGACATTCTAATTTGGATTTCTAGCCTCCAAACTGTAAGAAAATAAATTTCTGTTCTCTAAAATCAGCCACTTCCTTGTGGGTTTTTTTAAAGCGAGCTTAAATAAGACTCTTAGTTATGAGAATTGCCTTGAGGCATATAGTTCAATCTACAGATGTCAGAGCTATTAACTAGTCTTAAAGGAGAGAGACCTGGGAGTTGGAAGTTTCAGAACTATCCCAAGGTAATACTTAGAGTTAACCAAAGTGAGAAGCACTCTTCTGAAAAATATTTCAGAACCTAGAGATGTTTCTAGTAAAACAGAGTTCTTCTGGTTGCTTGAAGTGTGCATTACATTAAAAAAGAAAAAAGTTGCCATCAAGTTGATGCCAATCTACAGTGACACCATGAGCATGAGAGTGTGACTATGGGCTATAGAGTCTTTAATGACTGATCTTTCAGAAGTAGATCATTAAGAATCCCCCCCCACAAGGCTCTTTTAGGAGCTGAGTTTGTACCGAGAAGCTGAGAACATTCAAAGTTTGCACCAAGTGTGGATTCAGGAGTGTGGATGGTTGAAATGAAGTGGAGCCCAGCGAAGGAGACAGGAAAAGAGCAGATCTATGTGAGTAGAAGACAATTCCTCAGCAACCAAAGGATGAACCCCATACTCTAAGCCACAAAAGTATTATCAACAAACATTATAGACCACTTACTCTGACCACAATGCCATACAGATAGAAACCAATAATAAAAAGACAGCCAAAAAAAATCCAAATGCTTGGAAATGCAAACCACACTTCTGAATGATTAATAAAGAATAATGGAAATGATGAACTGCTTGATAATCAGTGACACACGTGCTATAGATCCAAACTGGTTGGACTCAGCTAAAAGTGTTGTTAGACATTTAAAGCCCTAAATGTGTATGTTGTGTTTCACCGATTATGGGATCACATCAATTATATATTATTACTATTATTATTATTTTACACCTTACAAGAACAAAGGTATTATCACCTGGCATTTTTATTTTAGACTTATTGAGGACATCCTTTAGATTTATTTAAATAGAAACTTTAAACACTCTTATGGATTGAATTATGTGTGTGTGTGTCCCAGTATATATTTGGTATTCTAACTCTACATCTATGGATGCAATGTAATATCAATTTGACACAATTCTTTGCTGTCATATTGGAACCAATTCAAAAGCTGACCTTCTAATGGGTTTCCAAGGTTGTGAGCTCCATGGGAGGAGATTGCCCTTGGCTAATGGAGTTGAACTGCCTGAGGGGATGGATGATCTAGGTTAGCGCACAACTCCCTAGGGACTGGGCTCCTGAATATCATATAATGCAATACAATTACCTTACATTCCAGTGTAATTACTTTCCATAAGGCAATCTAATGAAATGTAATCAATAAATTGAAATTGTACCAGTGCAGGTAGATCTCATACTGAGTTGTATGAGGAGCAAGAACAGAAGAAGAATAGAAGCCTTCAAGTTGTAGTGCTGAAGAAGAGTCTTGAAAATACCATGGACTACCAGAAAAATAAACAAGTCTGTCTTGGAGAGGGTGAAATGAAGTTTTGCATTGGGGGCTAGGATTTTGAAGCTCTGTCTCACATACTTTGGGCACATGGCCAGGAGGGACTGGTCCTTGGAAAAGGGCATAATTCTCAGAAGGGTGGAGGCACAGCACAGGAGAAGAAGACCCCGGATGAGATGGATTGATATAGTGACTGGGGTAATGGAGGTAGCTGTGTCAGTCAGTGAGACTGCCTCAGGACAAGGCAGAGCAATTGTACACACGGTCATTATGAGTTTCAGGTGACTTGACAGCACATAACAACAACATACAACTCAGAAATTATATAAATGTCTGAGTTGAATAAAGAGCAGCAGACAGAGACAGAGACATGTGTGTATGACAAAGGAAGACTGATGCTGTATAAGAAATGTCCACAAACTGAGCAACCGACAAGGAAGGAGCTACAGGGTCAAGACTTTTATTTGGACTTTTAGTCTCCCAAACTGTGAGAAAATAAACTTATGTTCCTTAAAGTCACCCACTTGTAATACAGAGCTATTATAACATCTCTAGGATGATAATATATTACTTGTGCATATTCTTAATATGACTGAAACTACTTTATTGAGGCATTTAAGAAGCTGTGCTACAGTCCTAAAGACATGCAGTTCAACGCCACCATTTGCTCCATAGGAGAGGATGGACAATCTCCTTCTGAATGATTAATTGCCTCTGAAAATGCACCCGAGGGTCAGCTACGGGTCAGCTCCAACTCTACAGTACATAACATTTACATATTCATTAATATTAAGGTTTCACAAATATTCATATAAGACTTTATTCACTTTTAAAAGTCAGACTATTGAATTTTAATCCCTTTTCAATGAAATCATTGATGTCTGAATCAGTCCAAAACAAAAACACAGATACACCATTTCTTAAAAAAATATATACATTTTTTTAAAAAAAAGAATATACATCTGTGGCCTCTGACATCTTCCACGCCAACAGCCATTCTGTAGGCTTCACTACTCAGATAACAGAGATTAGGCCAATCACCTCACGTCTGCTGCAGAGCCCACAGCACAGACTTAGATCAACCCCAACAGCAAACTTTGGAAAGCGCCTATCTTTGAACCAATGGGAGAGAATGTTCAAAACCAAGATTCCAAATTTAACAAGTTGTGTTTTCCCTTTTTGGATGGTAAGATAAAATAAAAACTGAAACAAATGCAGTAGATTACCAGAATCACAGCTTCCGGGGCTGCGGGGGGTGGGGGAGAGGAACCTACTATATAAGCAAGCAAGCCTGAAGATAAAAATTCAAAACACAAGTAAATAGATTAGCAAGCCTGTGGTCGTCGAGTCCATTCCAAAGGATACACCGTTTCCAGCAGGTTTCTGACGCTGTAAATCTTTAGGGGAGGAGAATGTCAATCTTTCTCCTGAAGAGCAGCTGGTGTATTTGAATCAACAAGCTGTATGACATGTGACACTCTGTCTAAACCACCAGAATTCCTTTTGGAATAGTAAAAAGGCCATAATTACAGATAAAATGGGAAATACCATTATAGGTAAAGAAACTGAGTCCTAGAATGTCTAGTAACTTGCTCAGAGCTTTACAGCTGTAAAGCTGTAAGTTTCAAAACATAGTTAAATGTTGAAATAAAATAGTAAAATGAGGTCTAACGTTATATTAAGACAGCTCTGGTATAAATCTTGTCAAGCTGATAGAATGAAATATACAACGTATATAATAAAATTCCTATGATATTAATAGCATTTTATCTTGGTGAAGGAGATGACTAATTCAAACAAATTAGCTGCAACATTTAGAATAAAAAATAAGATTGCTTTTTTTATCCCCAAATAAATCCCAAATGGGCTGTAGGTTTTCATGTAAAAGTTAAAACTTTTAAAAGTACATGAAGAGAGCTGAGAGAGCGTCTACATGGCGAGCAGAGGCCCCTTGCCACCACACCATCACTGCCACCCCTGAGCTCACCGTGACGACATCACTGCATGCCGAGTCCACAGCAGCTTCACTGTGCATTGCAGGCGATCAAGACCCCAGGGCTCTTCTTCTTGATCATGGTGCGCCCTGGGCACCAGGGCCTGATGGTGGGCATGGGCCAGAGGACTCCTATGCGGAGGATGAAGCCCAGAGCAAGAAAGGCATCCTGACTCTCAAGTATCCTATTGAGCATAGCATTGCCACCAAGTGGGATGACTTGGAGGTCATTTGGCACCCCATCTTCTACAATGAGCTGTGTGTGGCACCTGAAGAGCCTGAACTCCAAGGCTAACTGGGAGAAGGTAACCGAGTTCATATCTGAGGCCTTCAGAAGCCAGTCATGTAGGTGCCATCAAGGTTGTGACACCCCTGTGGGCCTCTGGCTGCACCACCTGCATCGTGATGGATTCCAGCAAAGGGCTCGTCAACACTGCACCCATCTAAGAGGGGTATGCTCTCCCCCACACTGTGTCCATCCATGAGGGGTACACTCTCCCTCACATTGCATCCATTTATGAGTTCAACATCCAGAAGACAAAGATTCTCACCACTGGGCAGATTGGCAGCAACATGACAGATGGAGAAGAGATGGAGGTTAACAATAAATAACAGCTTGCTCGGCTCCACAATCAACACTCTTGGCACCAGCAGTCAGGAAATCAAAAGATTAATTGCATTAGATAGCTCTGCTGTCAGGGACCTTTCTTTCCAGAGTACTGAGAAGCAGCAATGTCAGTCTAGAGACTAAGGTGCATCTGATCTGGTCCATTGTCTTCACAATTACTTGCTATGCATCAGAGAGCTGAACAATGACTAAGGATGACGGAAAAAGAATTGATGCCTTCAAGTTATGGTGCTAAAGAAGAGTCTTGAACATACGAAGGACTGCCAAGAAAACAAATAGGTCTGTCTTGAGGAGGGTGAAAACCAAGTTTCTCCTTGGAGGCTAGGATTTTGAAGCTCCATCTCACATACTTTGGTCATGTGGCCAGGAGGGACCAATCTTTGGAGAAAGACATCATCTTCGGAAGGGTGGCGGAACAGTGCAGGCGAGGAAGACCCCAGATGAGATGGATTTGTACAGTAACTGGGGCAATAGGGGTAGGTGTGTTGGAGTCAGTGAGACTGGCTCAGGACAGAGCAGACTTCACAGCTATAGTACATGAAGTCGCTATGAGTCATAGATGACTTAACAGGCTCTCCCCTACACTGTGTCCATCTATACAGGGTACGCTCTCCCCAACACTGCATTCATTTATGAGAGGTATGCTCTCCCCCACACTATCTGTGAGGGGTATTCTCTCCCCCACACTATCTATGAGGGGTATGCTCTTCCCCCACATGCATCCACATACTAGGGGGTATGCTCTCCCCGACACTGTGTCAGTCTATGAGGGATATGCCTTCCCCCACACCACATCCAACTGTGAGGGGCATGCTTTCCCCCACACTGCGTCCATCTATGAGGGGTATACTCTCTCCCATGTGTCCACCTAATAGAGTTACTCTCTCCCCCAAAATGCATCTGCCTATGAGGGGTATGATCTCCCCAACGTGCATCCACCTACTAGAGGCATGCTCTGCTCCACACTGTGTCACTCTATGAGGGATATGCTCTCCCCAACACTATGACCACCTACTAGGGGTATGTTCTCCCCCCCACATGACCACTACTAGGGGTATGATCTCCCCCCCACATGACCACTTACTAGGGGTATGCTCTCCCCCCCACGTGACCACCTACTTAAGGGGTATGCTCTCCCCCCACGTGACCACCTACTAGGGGTATGTCTCCCCCCACGTGACCACCTACTAGGGGTATGCTCTCCCCCACACGTGACCACCTACTAGGGGTATGCTCTCCCCCACACGTTACCATGTACTAGGGATATGCTCTCCCCCGGACTGTGTCAATCTCTGAGGGGTATGCCCTCCCGCACTCCATCTTGCTTCTGGACATAGCTAGCTAGGACTTGACAGACTGCCTCATGTAAATTCTGACAGAGGTTACAGCTTCATTACCACAGCCAACTGGAAATTGTGTGACATCAAATCAAAACTGTGTTATGTCACCCTGGATTTCAGCAAGAGATGGCTACATTGGCCGCCTCCTCCTCCTCCCTCGAGAGGAAATATGAGCTGCAGGAAGACAAGTCATCAACAATTGGCAGTGAGCATTTCTGCTGTCCTAGGCCTCTTCCAGCCCTCCTTCCTGGCCTTGGAGTCTTGTGGCACCCATGAAATCACCTTCAACTCCACCTTGAAGTGTGATATGACATTTGCAATGACCTGTACAGCAATGTAGTTCTGTCTGGAGGAACCACCATGTACGCAGACATTACTGACGGGACGCAGAAGGAGATAACAGTCCTGGCCCCCAGCATGAGCAAGATCAAGCTATCACTCCTCCTGAGTGCAAATACTCATGTGTGGATCAGCCGCTCCATCGTGGCCTCCCTGTCCACCTTCCAGCAGACGTGGATCAGCAAGCAAAGGTTCAGAAAGTCCAGCGGCCCCTCTGTCATCCCCAGCAAATGCCTTTAGGCAGACTGTCGAGTTGCATTGCACCCTTCCTTGATTAAAGAAAACCTAACTTGTGCAGAAAAAAGGGAGAGAGAGAAACATACATGAAAAAAATTAAAGTTGTTTCTATAAGAATGAAAGTTATTTCTAAGAAAGTTATCAAGTATAGGAAAAAGAAAGGGAAAGATGCATACATTTGAATGCATTTACATCTAAAACTATCATTGCTAATGTGGGAACTTTGAAATGTTTTTTGTTGTCAGGTGCTATGGGTGGAGTGCAACCCATAGCGACCCTTTGAACAACAAATCTGAACCCCCTCCTATGCTGGGCCATCCTCACAATCTCTGACACACTCAAGCCCATTGCAACTGTCACTGTGTCCATCCACCTGGTTGAGGGTCTGTCTTTCTTTAACCCACCCCTTTTCCAAGCAAAATGTTCCTTTCCAAGGAATAATCTCTCCTAGCAACATGCTTGAAGTATGTAAGGTGATCTATGTCATTTTTGCCTCCCAAAAGCACTCTGGCCTTGCTTTCTCCAAGACGTATCTGTTTGTTCTTTTGGCTGTCCATGGAATATTCAGTACTCATATCCAACACTGCAATTCAAAGGCATTGATTCTTCTTCTATCATTCCATTCATTGTCCAGCTCTCAGATGCACAGCAAGTGATGAAACAGGTCAGAGTCTAAATCAGGTTTATCTTAGCCTTCAAAGTGCTATCATTGCTCCTCCGTAATTTAAAGAGATCCAAGACACAGGACTTGCTCAATGTATTAAGTTTCCTGACCTCCTGACTGCTGGTACAGAGTGTGTTGATTGTGGATTCAAGTAGGATGAAACCTTTGACAATTTCAATTTTTTCTCCATCTACCATGATGTTGTTTGTCAGTCCAGTGGTGAGAATTTCTGGCTTTTTGATGTTAAGATGGAATACATATTGAAGACTACAGTCTTCTATCAATTCTAAACTGTCATTAAATCCTGAAGGCACACGGTTCAAGGCCACTAGCTGGGATTAACTGCCTCTGAAAGCCCACTGGAGGGTCAGCTATGGGTTGGTTCTAACTCAACAGTGCACAACAAAAACAACCCTAACCCTAACCTACATTTGAAATGTTGTTATTAAGTGCCATCGAGTTATAGATAACTCGTAGCAATACCCTATGAATGAAAGACCTGAACACTTGTATAACTTTCATCATTTCTCTAAGTGCATAGAGTTTCCGGAAGCTCAAATCCCTCTTCACCATTTGACTGAAGCACTGGGCAGGCCACTTCACCTCCGGCAGCCTCTCCTCACCTGCATAAGCGCCTGCTCACCTGCTGTGTGGACTAGTTTATGAGAATCCCTGCTGAGATGCTGCTCTCTGCTTTATTAGCTCTTGAACTAATATGGACAGACATCAAGTTACTTCTGCCTCACAGTGAGGCTATAGATCTTTACAGGAAGCTTAAAAGTAAGTTGGTGGATTCAAACTACCAACGTTTTGGCTCACAGCCCACTCTCTACCTTACACACTATGCCCTCAAGGCTCTTTACTCTAAAAAGCCTCCTACAAACTTCAGAGGGCGCCTTCTGAATAGTAAAGGAGAGGACAGCGTATCTAACTATTCCGAGCCCCGCCCCCCGCCCCGATTTCTTAGATCACAGCTCTCTGCAGCCTCGTTGCTCTTGAGATCGAGGACCCTGAACCTTTTTCTGTGTACGTGCGTTCATCTATGCACGTGTTAATTTCAAACAGTAAAAGCAACCAGAGACAAAGAAAAGGCATCAATAATAAGAAACTCTCAGAGTCAAGAGGGCTGACCTGTAGTTGGAGCCTCACTCCCCTCTCCAAGGCTTCCTGGTTTAGAAGCAGCCGCAGTTCCACTGAGGACTCTTCCCGCCCACCCGAGCAACCCCAGCAACCCCAGCCCTTCCTCCTCTGAGTTTTCTGTCACCTTCCCCCAGGGGAGACCCAGGGCTATTCTTGGAGGCCTCCATGGAAGATGTGACCCAAATCAGTCGACCAACTGGCAGCTAAACTGCCGGATAGCGATCCAGCGGGAGGCGCCAATGACACCCAGCCACGTGCTGCATGGGGAGGGAGGGGGTACTGAGCTCCAACGCCTCCCAGCCACGTGCTGCATCGCGGGGTTCTGAGCTCCTTGAGAGACTCGAACTTCAGGCTGCACCCTGGGTGGGCTGCAGTGGATGAGGTGTTCCGAAAAGCAGCTTAGTATGTGTGGATTTAAATAACAACAAAATCATGTGTGAGTCCTTTTCAGGCAATTTCCACAGCCTCTGATGCCAATAAGCTGCCAATAAGCGGGGCGCTCCCCACAAAGCTTGCAGATCCCCGCTTACAGTTGGTCCTATTTAGAAAGGATTCACTAACTATTAAAACTGACAGTTACTGCGTACTTACAGGGTGTCTATCTTTGTTTATCAAGTGCTTATTCTTTTCACCACACTTCTGTGTATTATTATATGT